CACTTCTCAAAATAAGCCAACTGTGGGGTTAACTCTTCACAGCCTGCTTTAGACATAATCAATACTACAGTCCTCTACACCAAGAAAGTAAGAGTCCTCTACAATGAAAGAAAATTATATCACTTTGGAAAAGGAAATCAAACATCAGAAAATGGAAAGATGGGGGCCGGGGATTTAGCTCAGTGGTTTCACTGCCTGCTGCGCAAGCATAAGGACCCAAGTTCGATCCCCGTTACCAAAAAAAAAAAAAAAATGGAAAGATATCCCCTGCTCCTGGAGGAGCAGAACCAATATAATCAATATGGATGTAACTGCAAAACTGATATGCAAATTTAATACAATCTCAATCAAAATAGTATTTCTCACAGATCCAGAGCAAACAATCCTAGAATTCATATGGAACCAGAAGAGATCCAGAATAGCAAAAGCAAAGCAGGAGGCATCACAATCCCAGATTTCAAGTTATACTACAAAGCTAAAATGATAAAAACAGCATGGTACTGGCACAAAAACAGACATGTGGATCAATGAAATAGAATAGAGGAAGCAGAAACAATCCCAGGCACAATCATCTATCTGATCTTTGATAAAGTGGCCAAAAACATACACTGGTAGAAAGATAGCCTCCTTAATAAATGGTGCTGGGAAAATTGGATATCCATATGCAGAAGATTGAGTCTAGACCCATATCTCTCAACATGCACTAAACTGAAGCCAAAATAGATTAAGGATCTAAATGTTAAAACAGAAACACTTAATCTGCTGGAAAATAAATATGTAAAAGTCTTGAAGACATAGGCATAGGCAAGGATCTTCTGAACAAAATCCTACAAGAAAGAATACCAAGAACCAAATGGGATCATATCAAGTTAAAAGCTTCTGCACAGCAAAGGAAACAACCAACATAGTGAAGATACAACCTACAAAACGGGAAAAAATTTTGCTAACTACTCTTCAGTGGAGTCACATTTAAAATATATAAAGAACTCAAAAAAGGGGCCAGGGATTTAGCTCAGGGGTTTTACTGCCTGCTGTGCAAGTGCAAGGACCTGGGTTCGATCCCCGGTACCAAAAAAAAACTCAAAAAAATTAGATTCCCCCAAAATAAAAGGCCCAATCAAAAAATGGGCAAGAGAAATGAATAGTCCCTTCTCAGCAGTAGTAGTGCAAATGGCCAATGAATACATAAAAGTATGTTCAACATCATTGGCCATTAGAAAAATGCAAATTAAAACAATGCTGAGATTCCCTCTTAATTCAGAAAGAATGGATATCATCAAGAAATCAAATAATAACAAATGCTGAAAAAGATATAGGGAAAAAAGAAACCTTCTACACTGTTGGAATGTTAACTAGTACAACCACTATGGAAATCAAAAAACTAAAAATAGAAATTCCATTTGACTCAGCTATTCCCCTTCTAGGTATCATCCCAAAAGAGTCAAGGACATTATATTACAGTAATACCTACATACTCATGTTTATAGCAGCACAATTTGTAACAGTTAAATTTTGGATATAGCTTATATATCCATCCACAGATTAATGGGAAAAGAAAATGTGATATTTATACACAATGGAGTACCATGCTACCATGAAGAAAGATAAAGTTGAGGCATTCATAAGTAAATGGATGCAACCTGAGACAGTAATATTAAGTGAAATAGGTCAGATACACAAGCTTAAATACTGCATGGTTTCTCTCAAATGAGAAACTCAAATACATCTTCATATATATATATAAATAATAGAGCAAAATAGAAGATAAAGAGGAAGTAGGGAGATCTTTTTCAAATGGATGGGAGAACAAGAGAGGAGGGAAGGGAGGGAAAAGAGATGGGGGAAAAAAGAATTGAAGAGCAAAGAAAAATGATGAAAATAGAGCTTTTACAAATGGAAGGAAACCAAGAGTCAGAAGGACCAGGGAGGGAGGGAAAGAGTAAGAGATGAAAAACAAAAACAAAGAGGAAAAAAAAGAATTAAGATGTGTTATGTATATGTACCAACTCCCCATGATAACTGTAATCATGATGTTCTACAGACATATACTAATTAAAAAGCAAAAAAAAGCACATGCAAGCCAGACACATGGTGGATACCTGTAATCCTAGCATTCTGGGAAGCTAAGGCAGAAGGATCACAAGTTTGGCCCAGCCTGAGCAACTTAGCAACTTTACAACATAGTTTTTGTTTTTGTTTTTCTTTTTGAAATGGGATTTTGCTATGTAGTTCTGGCTGTCCTGAACTTGTGGCAATCCTCCTGCCTCAGCCTCCCAAGTGCTGGGATTACAGAAGTGCACCTCCATGCCTGGCTAAAATAGTATTTTTTTTAAGTAAGGCAGGGTGGGGGGTAGATCCAGGGATGTATTTTAGTGGGGAAGGCCCTGGGTTTAATTCTCATGTATTTTTTTTTAAAGATAATAAAAAAGGTTGGCAAAAATATGGCAAAACTAAAACCCTGATACATTGCTGGTAGGAATCCAAAATGGTCCAGTCACTTTACAACACAATTTGGCAATTTCTTAAAAATTGTATCATTGGAGCCAGGTGTGGTGGCACACACCTGTAATCCTAGAACTTGGGAGGCTAAGGCAGGAACATCATAAGTTCGAGGCCAGCCTGGGCCAATAGTTCAGCCTGAACTACACAGCAAGACTCTCTTCAAAAAATAACAATTGTTGCCATAAATTTATTAAATGATACAGGAGTTCTATTCCTATACCCAGCAATAGGAACAAAAGTATATCTCAATAAAAGACATATATGCAAATGTTAATACTATCATTATTCATTAACAAAAAGGTGAAAACAACTCAAATGCTCAAAACTGGTGAATGGATAAACAAAATACAGTGTATCTATGCCACAGAGTACTATTCAGCAATTTTTTATAAGTTGTGACATACTACAATATCATAAACCTAAAAAGTATGCCTATTGAAAGATGATTCCATTGATCTGAGTTGTTCAGAAAGGCTAATCTGTAGATAAAGAAAGTAGATTAGTGGTAAATAGGGTTTAGATAAGTTTATTCAGGTCTTAGAACAGCGGTGGTGAACATATAGCATGTGTGCTGCAGCCAGCTGTTTGTTATCACGGAAAGCTCTAAAAGGTTCACCATCACTGCCAGAATTACACAGAATAATTTAGCTATTAAGAAACATGACATAGGGGCTGGGGATTTAGCTCAGTGGTTCTGCCGCCTGCCTCCCAAGGACAAGGACCTGAGTTTGATCCCCAGTACCAAAAAAACAAACAAACAAATGTAAATTAAAAATATAAGAAACTATATATTGAGACTAATAGAACAGAGTAAGGGCCCAGGGATTTAGCTCTGTGGTGTTGCACAAGCACAAGGTCCTGAGTTTGATCCCCGATACCAAAAAAAAAAGAACAGAGCAAGTCTGTATTGACAAGAGAAACCTCAGAAACATGGATCTTATGGCTCAGGTTGACAAAAAACTGTAACAGGACCAGGGATTTAGCTCAGTGGTTCCACTGCCTGCCTCACAAACACAAAGTCCCAAATTCAATCCCCAGTACCAAAAAAAAAGTATAACAACCCCATAAAGTCTCTAGATTTAGTACTACAAGTATAAGGCATCTGTCACTCTCATCCCTCAGAAACAATATCCAACACCCACAAATTAAAAGAGGAGAGGTCTATTTTTGCTCACAGTTACAATCCATGGTGGGCTGGTTTCGAGGCAGAAATGGCATAGCAAAGGCAAACTGCTTACATCATGGTGGCCAGAAATCAGAGAGAGAAGGAAGGGGCAAGGAAAGGAGATCTGTGCTTCCAGGTCACACTCCTAGTGACCCACCTCTTCTGATCAGGCCTCACATGCTGAAGCCACACACAGCCACTAAACAGTGGACAAATCCACTAGTGAGTACAACACCTCCATGATCCAATCACCTTGCAAGCACATGAGATTTGGGGGTAACATTTCAGATTCAAAAGGTAACATCATTGTCTTAGTTTTGTTTTGTTTGGTTTGGTTTGGTTTGGTTTGGTTTGGTACTGGGGATCAAACTGAGGACCTTGAGCTTGCAAGACAGGCAGCGGCACCCTTGAGCTAAATCCCCGGCCCCTTGTCTTAGTTATTTTTGCATTGCTGAGACAAAATAACCAACACCCAAAGTTATGGAAAGATTTACTTTGGCTCAGTTTGTAGAGGTTTTAGGCCATAGTTGGCTGGTTCCAAGGCAGGGCACCATGGCAGAGGGGCATCACAGGAGAAACAACCTATGGCAGGGCAGGCAGAAGACAGCAAGCAGCAGCGAGCTCTTGTATCCCATCTAGGATACAAGCCTTTTGGATGATGTCACCCACATCCAGGGTGGGCCTTTCCATTATTCATACCCAGAACTATGCTAGTCCAATCAGTGGACTAACTTAGTTATCACCCCCTTAATCCATACTCACAGGCCCTTAATCCACATTCACATATCCTAGGTCCAGCCACTTCCAAAAAGCCACATCAATGAGCACATGGGACTTTAGGGGGAACATAATACAAGGCATAACAGTCATCATTCTACTCTCCCAGTCCCAAGACATTTTTACTTCATTTACCATCTGTATCAGTCAGCTTTCTTGTCACTGGGACAACAGAGCCAACAACCACAACTTAAATGGGGAGAGGTTTAATTTGGCTCATGGATTCAGAATTTCAGTCTATGGTCAGCTGACTCCAAGGCAGGAATATCATGATGGAAGGGTGTGGCAGAGCACTGCAGTGACCCACCTCCTTCAAGTAGGCCCCACCTCCTAATAGCACATTCAGCTATAAACAACAGTGGATTAATACACTAAGCATAACGTCCCAATAATCCAATCACCTCTCGAGGAGTCTCTTAATCCAGTCAAGTTGACTTTAAGATTAACTGACACACTATGCCATGAGAATTCTTAAAATTAGCTCCACCAGCAACTTGATTTTCTGTGTTCTTTGCAATCAAAATCATTTTTTCAACTGAAGAGACTGGAGGCTTACCTTTGAGTATCACCAATGGCATTATGTGAAGTGTTTATATTCATGGTAACTCTTCCAACTCTTCAAAATACCTGTTTCTTAATGAAATACTTCCTTATTTATGACTGAAATTGTCCAAGATGTCTATGACGTACAAGTTAGATGGACTGAATTCTGTTAAGAAACAATACAATGGCTGTTTTATGTTTGAATCCTGAAAGTAAAGGTGATTTTTCTGTTCATCTATGGTCTATTTGTTAATTTTTAAAATATTACATAACAAATGTAATCTAGAAAGCTATAATGTTTTATTTATTTTAAAAAGCGCTGAAAAAAAACTGACAAAATGTTACAAACGTATTTCTTCTAAGAACAAGGTAATGATTAACTTTTAGATTTTAATTTCTCAAAAAGGTTATAACATCAGTGATAGATTTTCTTGAGCTTGGAAAAATATATATATATAGGTGCATCATATCCCTAGGGCATAGAATCAGTTTGAAAGAAAGTGAATTTTCGCCACCCGCTACGCAAGCGCAAGGACCCGAGTTTGATCCCCGGTACCAAAAAAAAAAAAAGAAAGTGAATTTCAGGGACATTTTTAGGTCCCCAAACCCTTTCTCATCATAGCCAAGATATTTCCAATGTAATGTTGTAATCAAAGAGCCCAAAGTGGACCAGGGATTTAGCTCAGCAGCACCACACCTGCCTCGCAAGCACAAGGTGCTGAGATTGATCCTTGGTGCCCCCCCGCAAAAAAGAGAGCCCAAAGTGCCCCAAATGAAAGATCTCATGGTAATTTTCTTTTTTTTTAATGTCAGATTTTTTTTATTCAAAGTCTCAAAAGAAATAAAATGGAAAAAGCCAACAACCCAACTAAATGTCTTTTGGCATTCAGTAAGTCCTAGGAAAGTAAACTACAGTATCTTGAAGCAGACAAGTAAGTTACCACTCACAAGTCTATGGCACTACTAAAACAAAAATTTTAAAATTAATTTTCTTGGTCATATACCAGTATATGTCTTTATGAAAATCTTTTTTTTACTGATATATACAAAAAAGTCTTTCTTCATAACTTAATTTTTTATAATTTCAACCATGATAATTTTCAAAGACCTTCTTCCAAAGAGATCAAGAAATAAGAAGAGGGGGCCAGGGATTTAGCTCAGTGGTTCCGGCACCTACTTTGCAAGCACAAGGTCCCAAGTTCGATCCCCGGTACCAAAAAAAAAAAGAAATAAGAAGAGTATTTTTCATTCACTCTGGCCTATTTTCTTCTGTGGGAGACACTCCAAATTATATGACCCCAACCATTTAAAGTAAGTTACTTTACTAAGTGTTAAGGAATCTCTGGGTAAACATTTTAAACAGATAATAAAAACAGTCCAAATATATACAAATATTAATATTCCACAAGTACCTCTTTGTATTCCAAGAAATCCAGTATCCTAAGAAAAACCTTGAGCTTTAAACTTAGAAAAATCTGAAGTAGGATTCCAATAAGTATAAGACTGTGAAAGTCACTTACTCAGAGCCTGTTTCCTCAACCATAAAAAGATAACTATACCAATCTCATATATTTTAAGATTTAAATAATATATACAGTACAGTGCCCAGTCACTATTTAGTTTTCACTACTGAACATAAAACTCTCTGAAAAACATAATGATCCCTGATAAAGGGAGTAGGTGATATTTGGGGTGATTCAGTCTAAAGAAAAATTGTAAGAGAATTATTTAGGGAAATACTAAGTACACAAAGATATCCAAAAGACTTTTTTTTTTTTTGGTACCGGGGATCAAACTTGGGTCCTTGCGCTTGTGCAGCAGGTGGCAAAACCACTGAGCTAAATCCCCAGCCCAAAACACTTTTTTTTAAAAAAGTACAAACCTATTTTGTCTCTACTCCCAAACAAACCTTATATATTTTTATTTTTGTGAAAAAGCTTAAACACATATACACTGTACACATCTATGCATGTGGCACAAAAGGCACCAAGAAACTTCTATTTTCCTTTTGAGAAAAGAAATTCAGTGGCAGAGGACTTTCCTAGCATTTGCAAGACCCTGGATTTGACCTTCGACACTGAAAAAAGAATAAAAAAGAATTTTAGATAGTTAAGGCCTTAGTAGTGTCTTTGTTTCGTCCTTGAGAAGAAATGTATATAGAGTTTATCAGGGCCGGGGATTTAGCTCACCAGAGGCCGTGCCTGCCTTGCAAGCGCAAGGTCCTGAGTTCGATCTCCAGTACCCAAAGGAAAAAAAAAAAGTTTATCAAATTTTGGTAAAGATCTTTCAGTAAAGCTAAATAGAAAAGAAACATTTTTTCAGTGTTTTATTTTGTCATCTAACATCTTTAAATCTGAATGGTCTTCTAAACAGAGTGGGTCCTACAGCACAGGAGTATGTTTCCCCAATTTCCAGATAATGTACACAAATAATGCGGCAAGCAGATGGTCTCCACCATCTTTACCCCACTGGTATTACTGTCTTATTTATATCTTCTCCTTGATTTGCTTCTATGTGACTTACTTCTATGACAAAGGTAATGAGATGTCACCCTCATAATTACTTCACACTTAAGGAGTGTAACTGGTGGGTGCAGCTCAGTGGTAGGGTGCTTGCCAGGCATGCATGGGATTCAATCGCCAGTACTACACCAACAACAACAAAGACTCTTAGCAGACCTTTCTGCTGGTGTTGAAGAAGCAAACCGCCATGATATGAACAGCCTCTATGGAGCGCCACAGAGCAGGAAACTGCAACCAGCCTCTTAGACCAGTGGGTAGCCTCCACTCAGCAGCTAGTACCCATCCAGATCCCTCAGACATTTCCCTAAGCTGTAAGGAAATAAACTCTGCCAATGACCTGAATGATCCTACCCAGATGGCCTCAAGATGAGCACACAACCTAGCTGGCCCCTTCAATGCAGCCTTGTGAGAGCAGAGGAACAGCTAAGCTGTGCCAGGACTCACGATCAAGAGATGGTGCGATAACTGTGTGCTGTTTTAAACCACTACCACTAAAGTTTGTGGTAACTTGGTATACATCAATAGAAAACTAGTTTGAAAATGCTCACATAAGGATAAAAAGAATTTTAAAAGTTGAGTAACACAAAGATATAGTAGTTTCTCAAACCAGCTCTGGCTATGTGGGGTTTTTAAATCAGGTATCTTTGTTTTTTGTTTTCTTTTGTGGTCTTTGTTGTTAGTGGTGGTGTGTGTGATGCTGGTGAATGATTCCAGAGCCTTACACATACTAGACAAGAGCTCTTCCACTAACCTATATCCCCAACCCTTTTTGTTTTTCTATAGCATAATTCCTTATCAATATAAACGAGGGAATTTTTTTTTTTTTTGGTACCGGAGATCGAACTCAGGACCTTGCACTTTCGAGGCAGGTGGCAGAACCACTGAGCTAAATCCCCGGCCCAAATGAGGGAATTCTAAGGCAACTAGATAGAGAAACCAAAGATTATGGCTATACTTAAAAAACACAGGTGAGGAAAGACAAACCACCAACAGCCACAAAACCTGCAGGTGAGCATCAGAGGTGTCTATAGAGAAAGCAAGGGAATAAAAAACAAGGCCACATCTGATAAAACCCCAGAGAGCCAAAAGATATCTACTGCAGGCCAATTTGAAAGCAGATGAAAATGGGAGAGAGCAGGAAACCAGCTTGCTATGAATGCCTAACTGGAGGGGCCAAACGGAGAGCAAAGACAAGAGACAGACAATTTTGAAAGAGGGACCAGGGGGCTCCTTCCTCTAGTGGACAAAGACCCCCGAGTGTCTGGCTCACCTCACTTTTATTCAACTTAGGCAAGGGAGCAAGGAATTAAGTTAATGGAAAATTCATCAGTTTCTCATTCTTTGCAAAGTGTACCCAGGTAAGTATTTCTCTAAACTAGATCTCAGCTGTTGTTTGATGTCGCTGGACCTTATTGGTACATTGCCAAAAAAAAAGATCCATTTGCTACTCCTTCATTCATGTCCACAGGGAAGGTGGTCAACTGGGCCTTGATCCTTACGTCTAGTTTCCCACAGGAGAGGTTTGCTCATTCTAAAAGGGGGTACCTGGGGCTGGGGGTGTAGCTCAGTGGTGGGGGGTGCAAGGCCCATAATTCAATCCCTGGAACCACAAAATAAATAAATAAATAACAATGGGCACCTGAAGTAATATGGTAAAAAAAAAAAAATCATGAAGGGGCCACGGATTTAGCTCAGTGGTTTTGCCACCTGCTGCGCAAGCACAAGGACCTGAGTTCAATCCCCAGTACCAAAAAAAAAAAAAAAATCATGAAAAGGCTAGTGCAATCCAGCCTCATGAACTCTTAGAATTAAACCATAAAGTTCCTCTTCCTGGACAGGGTCACAAACTAATAAAATAAAAATGGATCAGGATAGAAAAAATAAAGACACAGTAAGGAGATGCCCCAGCCAGACCAAACTGAAGGAGAAAATAAAGCCAGAAAATCTCAGAAAGCAAGCCACCATGTCTTTAAATATATACAAAAGGTTAAGTCAGAGTTTTAGGAAGTCAGAAAAGGTTTCCTGCTAGGCTTGATAAGCCTGTGATCCCAGCACTCATGAGGCTGAGGCAGGGGGAATGCTTCAAGTTTGAGGCCAATCTGAGCTACATAATGAGTTCAAGGCCAGCCTGATCTCCATGGCAAGAACTTGTCTCAAAAATCAAAAAAAGAAAAGGTCTCCTGAACCTCATCTCATTCTCAAAGTTCAGGTCGACAAAAGTAACCAAAACCCATACAAAGTTAATATGAGGATAAATACAAAAAGATGACAGAAAGACATGTCTACAAAAACAAATGAAAACTCTAATTTACTATTTCAAAATGAACTAAAAAGCATTAAGAAAAATCATACAAGGCATGAAAGATTATCTATCAGAATTAGAAAAACTCAAAAATGAGGTAGCAGGGATCAGAAGGCATTAGATATAAAAGGAAAAATCATTTCAGTAATAAAGATTAAAAGGAACATGAGAGCAAGTAGATATGAGCACAAAAAACAAACTAGATAAAGAAAATGAAAAAGAGGAAAACTATTAATTAAAAAAAAAGCAAAAGGATTCAGAATAAAATGACAGAATATTAAACGTACACAAAGAATTTTTTAAAAATGAAGATAACAGAAATCCCTGAATTAATAAAATCAAAGCAAGGGAACAAAACAACACTAAAAACTGCAATTCAAGAAAACTTTCCTGAAATAAAAAAAATATTTAAATCTAGTTTGTTTGAGACATGGTCTTACTATGCAGTTCAGGTTGCCTTGAAATAAGTAGCTCAGGCTGGTCTTGAACTCACAGTGATCTTCCTTGCTGGGATTACAGGTGTGCACTACCAAGCCTGGCTTAATCTGCATTTCTAGAAAGCAAACTGTGAACTTAATGCTGACCCTTACATTCTAAGATAATTACTGGACTTTTAGAAAAACTTGTACACAAATGTTCCTAGCAGCATTTTTCATAATCACCAAAAGGTGAAATAATCCAAATGTCTATTAACTGTCAATGGGTAGATATGAAAAATTATTCAACCATAAAAAGGATGAAGTACTGATATAAAGTACAAGATGCATGAGCCTTGAAAACATGCTAAGAAGCCACTTATAATTTGATTCCATTAATATGAAATTTCAGAATAGGTAAATCCATAGAAACAGAAAGTAGGTTGTTTTTTCCAGCAAGTGAAGAGAGAGAATGCATCTAACTGCTAACAGGTTTCTTTTTTGAGGTGGAGAAGATGTGATGGAGATATTCTAGAGACAGTGATGTTTATTATCACATAGTGAATATCCTAAAAAACACTGAATTGTACACTTTAAAATGGTACACTTTAAAATGTATGTTATGTGAATAATATCTCAATTTTTTTCCAAGTACCAGGGATTGAACCCAGATCCTCTGCATTGAGCTAAATCCCCAGTCCTTTTATTTTTTGAGACAAAGTCTCATTAAATTGCTATCCTCTTGCCTCAGTCTCTCAGGAGGATTACAGGCATGTGCCACCATATCCAACAAATTATATCTCAATTTTTAAAAATTCATCAACACTGGTAGTGTAGCCTTCAATGGAAAAGCATGAATTTAGCATACTTGAGGTCCTAGGTTAAATCCCCAGAACCAAACCAAATTATATGTCAATTTTAAAAATTCATTGACATTGGAGGCATAGCTCAGTAGTATAGCAAGTACTTAGCATCCATGAGGTCCTAGGTTCAATCCCCAGCACCAAAACATAAATAAATTCACCATCAGTCAAAAACCCTACCAGGGCACATACGTATAACCCCAGCTACTCAGGAGACTAAGGAAAGATCGAAAGTTCAAAGCCAGCCTGAGCAACTTGTCTTAAAAAGCGCTGGGAGTATTGCTCAGTAGTAAAGTGCTTTAGGCATGTGTGAGGCCCCAGGTTCAATCTCTACTACCACCCCTTCAAAAAAAATTTTAAAATAAAGTTTCTCCTAAAAAAAACACTCTCTCTCTCTCTCTCAGCTTCTAATAAAACCAGAGAACAAAGACCTATCTTTGTTTCAGGAAAACTACATCCATGATGGGCTGGATTTAAACTCAGATGAGATGTCTGTGCTATTCAACATGGCACAGAAGATGCAGTGAAATCTCCCTCTTCTTCCAAAGAGTGAAAAGGGAAGAAATGATGAGGACAGTTAAGTAGGCAATTATAGCAATGAAAATGTCAGTGTTCTAAGAGGCTAAGTTAAGAACTGCAGAGTACTCACATAATGTGTGGGTATTACACACATCTACACAAATCTACCTTTGAAAAGCCACAAATTAAAGTGAATAATTTGGCCAAACTATATGAGTGCAGTAATTAAAACTTCCTGATGACATACAACCAATGTTAGCCTTTTTCTTCAATATCTTTCAATTTCCATTTGAAAATATCCAATGATCAGTATCTATGAACAAATTGCTATATCAAAGCTATTCTCTGCATCATCATTCCAATTATAACAAAAATCCTATCTGCAGAGGTTGTGCTAAAAACTTTCTATAGATATCTTTCTCACTGTATGCTAACCCCTAGGGGCTATTGTTAATAGCCCTACTTTGAACCTGAGGACACCCAAGCTAAATACATTCAGTCACTTGCACAAAGTCACCTCTAGTAGGTGACAGTAAGGATTCATTCTCAGGCTGGCTGACTCCAGAGTTCAACAGTACGTCCTGCTATCCTTTTCCAAGACATATGAGACCCTGCCTGTGAGGGGAGCATTTCTGCTTCCTGCTACAGATTTCTCAAACAGATCATTCTTCTCCACAGTCAAACTAACAAGTCAAGGTGTTTTCTACAACAAATGACTCTGACCTTCAGTGGATTCTCAATCTGGATGGCACTTTTACAGGCTTGAGCCAGAAACAGGCCATCCTGTAACAGTGATAAATAAAGGAAAATTTTCAATCAGTTTTTTATGCTAATTAACAGATGAGTCTTCTCTTGGCTGTAGGGTTGACTTTTACTATTTCTACCAAAATACAGGAGAGGATGTTATGTATATCATTCTTCAATGCAGAAGATTGAAGCTGGACCCATTTCTCTCATCATGTACAAAACTAAATCAAAACGGTCCAAAGATCTGAATATTGAAACAGAAACAACCTGCTGAAAGATAAAATAGGCATAGGCAAGGACTTTCTGAACAGAACTCCAAATGCACAAGTAACATCAAGAATCAACAAATGGGACTATATCAAATTTAGACATCAGAGCCACTGCTGATACAAGTTCTCCTACCTCACATCTGAGTCCTTCAGCTGCTCATTCAGAATATACTTATCTCTCAGTGTCTGCACAGCTCAGAAGTGGAGGGAGGGGTGAATGAAGAGATGAAACTCATTTATCCAGCACTTAGCATGTACCAGATACTGGGACTAAGCACACCTGACCTCACTTAGGCCACACAGTAACCCTAATGAGATTACTTACACATTTCACAAATAAGAAAACTGAGGGCTCCAGAGGTTGAATAACTCTTGTAAAGATATTTACTGGAAGAATTAAAATTCAGACCCATGTCTGGCTGACTACTAAGGTAGCGCTGTAAAGAAAATTCAGCCTCACAGCCTCCACGTTGTATTTATCCTTTGCTGGAAAAAGCCTATGCCTCCTTGAGTACACAGCCTTTATTAATCATTTAAACTAGCAGCACAAGGGTGACTTATCTGAAACTTCATAATCTCTCCTCTCCCTTTAACACTGATGCAAATCAACAGATTACCAGCCACCAGGTCTCCTCAATCATTTAAACTCCCTCTTGACTAAGGGTAAATAAAAGGACCTGAAGACCTGAGTTAAAATGGTATTTCAGGACTTTGGTCTGTTTTGCTAGCTTTCTTTGGTCAGACAACTTGTCCTCAATTCATCGGGCCCTTTTCAAGTTGTCAGTAAACGGATCTGGATTCCAAGACACTAAATCCATCTTTTTTCACTAAACCGGGCTATCTGGCTATCTGCCTTTGTGACCACACCTGTGTCGGGCGTTTCTCTCAGCAGTTACATATTTCGCCTTTAAGTGGAGTGTTTGGTTCCTTCCAAAAAACAAGACCAAGACCTAGGGGCTGAGACAAAGGATTTTATAATTAAATGGAACTCCGGAGATCAAGTCCGTTCTTTTTATCTCACAGGTAAGGAGTTTAAACCTAGGAAGGTTTGGTGATCTGCCTGAGATCACATAGCCAGTAAATGCCCAGGCCCGGATCAGTAAAAAAACTCCAAAAAACGTCCACTTTCCCTCCTAGCAGATTGCACTGCCTTTGTTTCCTGTGCATTTCATGGGCAACCAAGTTCGTTTCCTATTCCGATTCTGTTGTTACTAGGCACTCAAGTCCTTTTCTCCATGGTTACGAGAATTACAAAATATCGATGTGTAAGGTATTAAAAGAGCTGGACAGCAAGTCTTTCTAAAAAATATTGCCTAGGATAATTACCAAGATGGAATAATCATTCAAAAAGAGGGTACCACTTCTGCAGGAAATTTACACCTTCAGAAAAATTGAAAACTCACAGCTGATTTTTCTAAAAGTCCTGGAGGGCAGGCAGGGGAAGCTGCAGAAACCAGTCTAGCGCAACTTATCCTTTCGTTTACCACTGGCAGGGCGCCTAATGTGTGGCTTGCATTAAAACACGCACACGAATGATGTGGCCTTTGTCCTCCAGTTTACAGATTCGGAGGTAAAGGTCCCCGCAGTCTGGCGTCGTACAGGGCCCCGGGAGGGAGCGGCGGCGTCCCGGGGTGCTCGGCGGGGCTCCCGAGGGGACGCCCCAGGCCCGCAGTGCAGCCCCATTGCTCCTCTCAGCCCTCCCGGCCCGAGGCTCCGCCGCGGTTACCTCAGGGGTCTCGCGTGGTCCGCAGTGCACACCCACGACCCCAGGATGCCCTAGGGGATGAGAGTGGAAACTGTTGGGACACGGTGGACTCTAGGACCCTGGGAGGAGGGACAGACAGCGAAGGGGGACTGGAAGTCAAGTTTACAAAGGCCACTTCCGGAAACTAAGCGGACACAGCTTCCCCGCAGTCTTCGAGGACTTTCTCAGGCCGCCCGTCCGCCTCCGCCCCGACGGCGCGGTCTACCCCTTTCCTCCTGCCTCCGTGGCCCCGGTATTCGTCCCCGGAGAACTCCGGTCTCGGATTGAAGAAGCCCGCCCGACAAGCCCAGGGCCCGGCCAGGGCTAGCCGCGCGTGCGCCGTTGCCAGGGAGCCCGCGCCCCGCCCGCGCCCAGTTTGATGCTTTCAGCTTGAGGCCCCAGGAGACGACTGGAAACGCCGCCTTCCACCCTCTGGCCCCTTTTCCTTGCCTCCTGAATAAAAAATCCAGGCGGGTCAAATCGCAGCTCTTGCGTTTCTAAACTACCATGTGTGCTGACCGGGACGCTGCTCCTGTGCCGGGGCTGGCCCGGGCCTTCTGGCCCTTCCTGGCCTCACGGTCCCTCTTAGGCTCCTTCCTTAACGTGTGTTGTAAACCGTACACCGCGATGAAGCCTCCAGCCCCTGCCGGTGCCCCGTCTGCCTGCTAGCTTCTGGGTTTTTTTATATTCATTCTCATTGATTCTTCATTGTCTCACTCTGCTACCCCCCCAAAACCGAGCCTTCTCGATAATTTATGTAACACTTTGGTTTCTCCGCATAGCTGCTTCATAATCTGCCGCCGCCTTGGGGAGGGAGATTGGAAACCAAATCCTCGGGTTTCTTTTGAAAGCCTATTCCCCAAAGAACGATGCACGTTGGAGGGATTTTGATTAAGGATTTTATTTTCACCACCACATGCACACGCCCCCCCCCCAAAAGGTGTGTAATACAAAATGAGCCTTTTATGCCAAGCTCGTCAGGTGTTGATTGTAATCTGCCTGAAACCAGGTGCAGGGGTCGTCTTTCCCCAGCTCTCCCTCTGGAGAACCAACAGCGGTCATAAAAGCAAATACAAATTGAGATTCACGCCTCCTTGATTGTTGCGGTGCTGAAACCTTAATCGGCTTGAGTGTAATCATTCAGATTTTAAAGGAGAATGTTCCAGCTTCCTAAGAAAGAGGAAGATGGCTTCAAAAGGAAGAGTTTAAGGAAAGAAGAAAATAGCCTAAACCAACACTTATAAATGAAATGGAACATTGCAACAGACTGATACCAGAATTTTTTTATTTCACAAACTTTAAATATTTTAAATGTCTTTGTTTTAATGACATCACAGAAGTATTGCATAACAAGAACAAATACCAAATGTACATTATACACTCGTTTAGTAAGAAGAAAAATGGGTGCAGTGTGAAGATTTGCAATCTTTATTTGATCAGTCAGCATTTATAGAATACAGACTATACGTAGCATGGAGCCAGGAGAGAGGAATGTAGGGTGTATTAAACAGGTGCAGTGGGGATCAAAGAAGGGAAATATTAATATCAGCCCCCTGCATCTGAAAAGGTTTTATAGTGAAGGACTTTTGACTTTAGGAATATAGTTATAGACTCATCAAACTAATAGGAATTTGTAAGGAAGACCTAAAAGCTACAAACACCAGCATGGAAAACAGCAGGAGGTATTTGAAAAACTGGAAAAGCTCTATGTGCAAAGGAGGAAAAATGAGAAAGCAGGCAAGAAAAATGCAGAACCCAGATCATCAAGGTCATCATCTAGGTCAGTGATGGTGAACCTTTCAGAGACTGAGTGCCCAAACTGCAACCCAAAACCCACTTATTTATTGCAAAGTGCCAACACTGCAATTAACACTAAATACTGAGGATTTAGTTTAGAAAAAACTACTCACACATTAACATCTTTTGTCTTAAAAGAAAAACAACACCCATAGCATGAGTTCACCACCACTGTTCTAGATCATACTTATGAGTTTATCAAGCAAGAAAGATAATGAGAGGGGTAATTACACATGAAATCATATTATTCCAAAATACTTGGGGATTTTCTATATTTCAGGTAGTTACAAGGTCAAATCTGTTGTCTATTTGCTTAACCTGCTATGTCAGCTTTGTTATATAGAGAGCTGCTCTCCAAGCCACTTCCTTTTGACCTCAGTATCACTTCATTCCCCTCTCTTCCTACCAAACCTTTTGAGATAGAATTAGATCCATCCCGGCCATGTAGAAAACAGCTTCCAGGCTCAAGAATTACTTCATTGCCGAGTCCCAGACCCCTTGGCCTTGCTGACTCACAGAGCCCCCTCAGATTTCTCTCTGGCCTAAGTGAGAATTACACTCACTTTCTCCAACTCTGACCATTTTGCTGCTGGTCAAGGAACCATTATCTTTTTTTTGCCCCTCAACTGGTATTTTCTCAGTTTCTGCCCACAATCTTCACAATGTTCTATAGAAGTCTCCCAGATGATGTCATCGTTTCTCCATGCCTGAAGTCCAAGTCCTGAAATTTGGGGTGGGGCGGGGTGGGGGGGAGTGTTTTTATAGTGCAGGTTGGTCCAAGGGTCTTTGCACTGAGCTGCATCTCCAGCTACTTATTTTATTTTATTTTTCAGACAGATTCTCACTAAACTGGCCAGACTGGCTTTAAGCTTGCAATCGTCCTGCCTTAGCCTTCCACAGTACTAAGATTATAGCCATGCACTACCACATCTGGCTTGAAATTCATTGTTTATTTGTTTTAGAAATACAGTTCTTAATAAACACTTCTAACCTCCCCTGAGTTCTGACTTTGAATTTTTAACTCCTTGAACTGTGCTACTTTAATGTCTGACAGTATTTATTTCAAAATATCTTTCAGACTTTTTTTTTTCTGGACCAGGATCGAACTCAGGACCTTAAGCTTGTGAGGCAGGCATGGTGCCACTGAGCTACATCACAGCCACCCAAAATATCTTAAGAAAATTATCTTTGGGCCAGGGATTTAGCTCAGTGGCATTGTGCCTGCCTCACAAGTGCAAGGTCCTGAGTTGGATCCCCGGTACCAAAAAAAAAAAAAGAAAATTATCTTTTACAACTTATCGTGAAAGTCCCTCAAACTACCCTTTTGCCTGTTTTTTAAAGTTCCTACTCTCTTAGACATAAAGGGAAGAAAAACTCAGAGAACCTTAGTTCTTCTCTTTCACTCTCTGAATTCCCACATTCAAGAATCTTACCTTTTCTCTAAGCCCGGTGCATGTGTGTATGCACATGTGTGTTTTGTTTTGTTCTGCAGTGCTGGGTCTCAAACCTAGGGTCTTGTACATGGTAGCCAAGTCCCCTACCACTGAGCCGCATCCTGAACCCCAATCTTTTTTCTATACCTACTACTAAACAGTTGTGTTTGTTTCCTTATTGTTTTCTAACCAGACAGTTGTATTCAGAACCTTTCTTGTGGCCTAATGCAAGTCACTCGTGTCCCTTTTCTGTGCAATTGGGGATTAACATCAAGGTATTTTTAAACTGGCAAATATGAGAGAAGACAATCAAAAACATTAAAAAATCAAAAGTAGGCCTAGGGGCACATGTGTACCTTTCTGACTCTGGGGAGTTTTAGCTAAGAGTGTGTGTGTGTGTGTGTGTGTGTGTGTGCGTGCAACTACCTCAGGGCTTCTTACTCACCAGATGTGCCACATCCTTTTGACTCTTCCATAGCCTCCTCTAGAAGGTTCAAACACCAGGCACTCGATTAGAATGTTATTTTGGTATCAGTTCTTACAGCTGAAAGATCTTGGCACAATTATTGCTCTCAGTGGCTCTTTCTGTGTGCTACAACAAAAATGATCTTTCTAAAGCATAACTCTGATTATGTCTCTGCCTTTATTAATTCTGCTAAGTGGTTCCTTGCTGTTCACAGGACAAAACTCAAACTTGGCCTCTGTCAGTCGAAGACTACTACTCAATTTCCTGCCTTCCTTTCCCAGCCTTGCTTCTAGCTCACAATAAATGTTTTCATCCGTTCACATTAGCAACAGAAATCACAGATATTTGGAAATAAATGTAATAAGATTTAGGCAAAGGCCTATATATATATATATATATATATATATATATATATATTTTTTTTTTGTACCAGGGATCGAACTTGGGACCTTGCACTTTCGAGGCAGGTGGCAGAACCACTGAGCTAAATCCCCAGCCCAAGGCAAAGGTTTATATTAAACACCTGAGGATGTTTAAGCTTAATATAAAAGACTTAAATCCAGAAAACATTATTAAGCATATAATATGTACCAAGCTCTATGCTGAGTGGCTTAGCATTTATTCTCATTTTTTTTCAACAATGCAAACAAACATCTATCATTTGTTCTGGTGATACATGGTGACTTTAAAAATTGGGGCAATTAGAGAAGAGCAAAAGTCTCCCCCAAGTCCCAAAATATAAAAAGAATTCTTAAAATGTCAATGATAAGCCAAATGTGTTGACACAAGCCTATAATCTCTGCACTCGAAGACTGAGCCAGGAGGATACCTGCAAGTTCAAGGCCAGTCTGGGCTATTTAGTGAAACTCTGTTTCAAAAAAAAAAAAAATCAGTGATAAGAAAGCAAACAAATTTAAAAAATGTGTCAAAGATTTTAACAGATACTTCACCTAAGAAGATATTATAGATGACAATTAAGCATATAAAAAGATGTTCCACCTCATATGTCATCAGAAAAATGCAAATTAATAACATACCACTACATACCTATGAGAATGGCCAAAACCAGAACGCTGATACATCAAGTGCTGATGAGGATGTGAAACAGTTAAAACTCTCACTGCTGGTGGGACTACGGGATGGTATGACCACTGTGGAATGCAGTTTGAGGCTTTCTTATGAAACTAAACATACTCATACTATGCTATTCTTCAATCATGGCCTTTGGAAAACTTATGTCTCACAGACCCCCTGCACACAGTGTTTATAGTGGCTTTATTCATAATTGCCAAAACTTGGAAGCAGCCAAGATGTGAATTGATAAACTGGTACATCAGGACAATGAGATATTGTTCACCACTAAAAAAGAAATGAGCTATCAAGCCATGAAAAGATAAGGAGAATGGTGCATATTACCAAGTGAAAGAACCCAGTCAGAAAAGACTACATACTATATGAATCCAACTATGTGACATTTTGGAAAAAGCAAAATATGAAGACAATAAAAAGATCAGTGATTGCAGAGGGTTGGATGGGGAAGGAAGAAGGATGGATAGGTAGAGAACAATGGAGTTATAGGACAGTGGAAATACTCTATATGCTGCAGTAATATTAGATAAGTGACATAAATTTGTCCAAACCCATAAATTATACAACAGCAAGAGTAAATCTTAATGTAAACTATAGTCTTTGGGTGATAATGATGTGTCAGTGCAGGCTCATCAATCATAATAAATGCACCATTCTGGTGAGGGGGTTTTAAAAGGGGGGAAG